TCTGGATGAGCAAGTTCGTTTTTCCAAAAAAGTTGCCGTCTACAATGAGTTGACAGTATTTAGAGTAAAAGCAGGTTCACTGTCTCTGCCACGTCTTGAGCGAGCCATTAGATCAATTTTGGAAAAGCATTCTGTACTACGTACTTGTCTTTACTTTAATAGTAAAGACGGCGCTGTGATGCAGAATATCGTTCATAACATGGATGAAACTTTTGGATTGGTAACACAGACGACATTTGAGGACGATAACGAACTCGAATCAATTCTTGACGAAATGATTACAACACCAAGTCTGTTCGACTTATCAAAAGGACATGTTCTTCACTGTCGAGTTCTTCGACGGGCACCAATAAATAGAGATTTTGACAAGAATCTTGCCAGTGCTACTGACTTGTTGGTGCTTTCTCTTCATCACGCTGCATTTGATCGTACTTCAGCTCCAATTATCTACCGTGATCTACGCATTGCCTATAACACTGACAGCCGTTTGCCGATAAATGAAGATTCATTGCAATACATCGATTATTCGGCATATGAGCGCCAAATGGATATGACAGCGTCACGGGAATTTTGGCGATCCCAAATGCATGGATACGACTTTGAGCAGCACTTAGCATTACCAATTAATCGACATCGCTCAAGTACTTATGAGCGGTCGAGTATGGCTCACTCTGCTCTAGTGGTACTCGAGAATGATGTCATGAAATCTTTCATCGCATATGCTTCGTTGCATGACGTTACACTGTTTCAACTTGGTCTAGCTACATTTTACGCATTTCTGTTTAAATTGTGTAATGGTCAAAGCGACTTGTGCATCACTTGTTTAAATGCGAATCGATATAGAACTGAAATAGAAAACCTGGTTGGTATGTTTGTCGCTACTCTCCCATATCGTATTCATCTCGACCCTCTTGACTCCTTCAATGAACTTGTCAAACAAGTTCGAGACAAATGCTTATCAATTCTTGAACACTCTCATTATCCTCTTCGACACATTCTAGCTGATTCTCACCAAGAACAAGTGTCGGTCAATTTTCTTGAAACTGTTTTCGACGTTATAACTTCTTCTCCAGACGGTGGTGAACTAATTCTTAATGGTGCGCAGCTTGAGTCTATGCCATGGTATAAGTCACCAGTGGCTAAATTTGACCTAATGCTGACTTTTGTTTACAATCCCTCGACAGAGCATCCCACACTTTCTTTTCTCCTAGTCTGTTCGCAGGATCTATTTAATCAAACAACGGTGCACATCATGGCCGATCGGTTCTCTCTTTTTCTGCGAACACTGTTTGAACCTCAAGCAAAGGCAATGGAAACGCTACCATTATGCGAATTGTCCATTATGTTGCCTAGTGATCGCGCACTAATGCTCGAATTAAACAACATCCATCCCTATCAAGATGAAAGGTCAAATTGTACCATCCATGAGTTATTCTGCGAGCAGACTCTGAGTAAGCCGCAAAAGGTTGCAGCTGAGCTCGATGAGCAGTGTTTGACATATTCCGAGCTTTTGTACTATGTACAACTTCTCGCTCTACATTTGCTGAAACAACACCATGTCATGTTGGGCGAGATGATTTGTCAGTGCGTGGAAAGGAGTTTGTCAATGGTAAGTTCAATGAGAAAAGAACCGTAATCTTCAAAAGAAAATATCTTTTTGTTGATTTTCGCGGATTGTATCATAGAATCCTTCATACTTCTCAGGATAAATTACATATTATTACTGTTTACAAAAAAGGATCAGTAATGTAGATGCACTAGAACCCCGGCATTGTTCAAAAACTTTTAGTAAAGAATAGTATTGCGCGAGAACTACAGGCAGCCTATTGTCCAATCAACAAAAATAAGTTCCTTTTTATATCCCTTCCTTCTCATTGTCCCTTGTATTATTATATACACATTTATATATCATTGTATCGGTGATAGAGTCAACTATATTTGCACGCACATGTTTGATATATTCACATGTTATTTTGTTTTATTTTTCATTAAACGATTTTGGTTATACTGAGAGAGCACAGTGAGTGATGCAAAAAAAAATATTCTAGTGAACTGTCTCCAGTTTTAGAGTGAAATCATGGCTAAACGTGTTGTTTTTGAAAACCGATAGTTTTGTATAGTCAATGGGGTACCCAACATGATCAGCTAGTCTATCACTAATAATTGACGAAGACCTAGATCGGAATCAGGCAGCAGTCTGACTCAAAGTTTTCGATCGATTGTCTAAGCTATTCAGACACATAATATTAGACACATACTCATCACACGCAGCATTATTTTATATCATAATAACACTGCTAGTACTGTATACATGCAGATGTGGAATAGTCGGACGAAAAGAATTTTGCGCGGTGTGGATATGGTCGCTTTGTGAAACCTAATCGCTACATAAAACAATCGGTTTTCAAAAACAACGTGTTTAAGCATAATTCCACTCTAAAACGAAAAACTGTTAGCAAGGATATTTTCCTTCTTTGCATTGGCGGTCGTGTTCTCTCAATAAAATAAAAATCGTTCATTGTAAAAGAAATAAAAATCGTTCATTGTAAAAGAAATAAAAATCGTTCATTGTAAAAGAAATAAAAAATAAGACAAAATAGCACTTAAATATTAAATGATATGTACATGCACATATATTTGGCTCTATTACCCAAACAAAGAGATAATAAATGTGTAAACCTCGGATTTAAATCCGAGAGTTATGTGTACTTCAAAAAGTGAATGAGACAGATGAGTCACCCTAGAATGTGTGTACATCAAAATTGTCCCGGCAAACCCTTTCTGTAAACACTTAATTTCTATTGGCTATTGCTCAGCCAATACGATTTGGAGGCAAATACAGCTCAGATTTGAACTCTTCACCTTGATTTACCCTAAGAAACTCGTTTTTCCTATAACTTGATTTCTATTGGTCACTGCTCAACCAATGGGATTTCGAGGCGAATAGAACATAGATTCGAGTTCTCCATTCTAGAAAACCTCAAACTATTATCTCTGTGATGGGAAGATAGAGCTCTAATTGTGGATCATATAGAGCGTGAACAAAAACAGAACCGAATTCCGATTAATTATCTTTGCAATAGGCGAGTTAGCTTTCTTGTTTCTTTATGTTTTATATACCATCTTGTAGCACGTGAAATTCTCTATCGAATAGTATATAGTAGTTGGGGTTTTATCTGACTATGATAGGAAAAGTTTTTTTATGAAAATAGAGAAGGGTCTATCTTCTCATAGGGAAAAATGACTATTTTTGCAATAACTCAGCAATGGTTCGGCCAATCATTCTCATCTTCGAATTCAACCGAGATATTGTTAAGACTAAACTGTGTAGAAAATTTCATCGCGATCGGACTCTCCTTTCAAAAGTTATCGTGTTAACGGCCGAACGGCCGGATATACTGACCGATTCTAGAGTGTACTCACTTTTTGAGTACACAAAAATATGTACAAAATAATACAAGAGGAAGGAAAAAGGAAGAATTGAAAAAAGAACATAGCTTTTTCGTGGGAGATTCATTTGAATGTGAAAATTTTATACTGTGCACTGAATGCAAACATGTCGCATGAATATCATACACGCGGCATTCTCATGAGTCTACTGGTTCCATTCTTATTTTCGATTTCGGAAATGAATAGTTCAAAAAATGAGCAAAATTACTCTTCATAATATGTTTACATGACATGGTTACATACAGCTAATGGAACCTTGCAGAAAAAGGTATCTTTAAAATTTGAGTGCGATGTGAATAAAGAGAAGACACATACATACATCCACAGCCACAAAAGTATAACAACTCACGCGTTCATCATACTTCGTTAAGGAATCACGTGTGGAATATCTAATGGACCGCAAGCTTCTAATCGTTGCATACAATACGACGATGGAAGATTATGAAATTCATCTTGAAGAATGATTTGAACAATCTTTCAAGAAATCTATTGTAAAAAATATTGATTGCATATTACTAGGCTACGAACACATCAATGCTTGCTAATATAAATCCTAGCAGAATACATCCTATTCCTTAGTAGCTGTAAGTCTTCATAAATATGTACAAGAAATCTGTACGAGAGCTGTAGGCATGAAAACACTTGTATCACAGCCCCTAAGGTTAACCAAAAAAGTAGTTTCGTCAAGTATTCTGCAGTGGCAGGTCACATCCTGTCCCACATTACGCGGAGCTCTGTCTTGAATCTAGTTTTCAAATGTTTGTCATCAAATTTTTGGAGTTATGTATCATTCGGCTCTTCCGAGAAAAAGTAATTTTGTGACATTAATCAAGTTCTTATACACTTCTCTCCTTACATTTAAAGTAAAGCATAGAAAACACTAGTATTAGTTATCCGTACGCACTGATTAAATACTCATGTCATTAGGTTATTGGTATGATGGCCATTGAAATGACTGGTGCTGTCTATTGTCCATTACCACCTCAAAGTCCTGATCAACGTCTATTGTTACTGCTGGAACAAACTCGAAGTCGTCTTGTTCTTGTTCATGGAATGACACGAGACAGATTCAGCAACGATATTAGCACGGTAGATATTGACGCAACTATGAATGGCGATGCTATAGTGAGCGGGTATAATGCTGATTGTCTCTTAAGTGTCATGGTAACACCTGAGTGTGTCGCAACAATTGTCTTTACAAGTGGTTCAACAGGAACACCTAAAGCGGTGATCCCCTAATTAACTTCTTCATTCATAGTGATTCAAACATTTCTGTCGTTCTAGGCTCAACTAAGACACAAAAACGTTGTTGGTTGCATTCATTCGATGGAACATATTAGTAGCCTCAACGAACATGATACGATTTTACAACTCTCTCGGAGTTCGTTTGACGTTCATATGTTAGAAATTATGGGAGCACTGATTCTCGGCGCTACAGTTGTCATGCTTCATCCGAAAGGCAACATGGACCTTACGTACGTGGCTAAAGTTCTCAATAGTAAACAAATCAGTTATATGTTTGCTGTACCAGCGTGGCTTAACAGTCTCTGCGACTTCTTTGATGAGTCACATGTTCCTAATTTACACACAATGCGCTCGCTTTGTGGTGGAGGTACGTAAAATTACATAGGATAAAAGATGCGATGTATTACTTTTATGATTGCTTTCTTAGGAGAAAGTGTTTCACCCAAGTTAGTTGAAAGAATACAAAAAATTGTTACTACGAATTGTCAGGTTTGGGATATGTACGGGCCAGCTGAGACTGGTGTTTGTACTTATTATCAAATACATTCAATAAATCAAGCAAGCGGTATCCCTATTGGTCGACCACTTCCAAACTATCAATGTCTGATTCATGACGAATTTGGACAACTCGTGATCGTTGGTCAACAGGGTGAACTGTTAGTAGGAGGTGTAGGTGTATTTGCTGGTTATCTTGGCCGCGATGATTTGACAGAAAAAGCACTAGTCAAAATTGACGGTGTCACATATTATCGGACAGGCGATCTCGTTAGAATCGATAGCAATGGTTTGATCTATTATATCGGCCGCACAGATCATCAAGTGAAATTGCATGGACAGCGTATTGAAGTGGAGGAAATCGAACGATGTTTACACGACATTCACATTACCACTTGTGTTGTCGTTAAATGGGGCGAAGACCATTTGGTGGCTTATGTGGAAGGCTCTGGTATTAGTGAAGAAGATTTGCGCACACATTGCCGCTTACATCTCCCACCATTCATGGTCCCTTCTGTGTTTGTCATACTTGATCAATTACCATTGAATGCGAATGGAAAAGTGGATCGGAAGCGTTTACCTGCTCCCGACTTTTCAACAGCAAGGGATGCTGACCACTTGGATTCGTTGATTTTGACACCTCTTGAAGAACGTATTCGCAATATATTCGCCGAAGTTTTTCACAATGAACAACCCAATGTGAACATTTCATTCGGACGAATGGGTGGCACATCACTAGATGCCATGCGAGCACTTTCAATGATTCGAAAACAAATATGCATGAAGGTTGACGCCACAGTTCTATTTGCTAATCCTTCAGTTCGACAACTCGCTCAAGCTCTTCAGCCATTGCTAGATTTGCAGGAAGACCCTGTCACAACCGTGACGCCGAAGTTAGAAGAAAATTCCAAGCGACCAACACCCTTCTTTTTTATTGAAGCATTAGGCATTTTGCTACTCGTATGCCAATGGCTATTTCCTATATTGGCAGCTTGTCGGTCTGAGTCTTACTTCACTTTTATTTTTATACCCATAATTCATCTTTTATCGTATATCGTTTGTCAGCGCTTCCTTTTATGGCTAGGAGAAGCTACAAAGAATGATGACAAATTGTATTCGTGGGGCTATTATCGTTGGTGGTTTTTAGAGCGTTTATGGTCAATAAACAGTTCTTATTGGTTGCGACATTTGTTGGGTACTCCGTTTTACAATTTTTTTCTTCGGCTGTGTGGCGCACGGATTGGCCACCACGCACACATTTACACAACAATTATCGATGCTCCTTGGATGGTTCAAGTTGGTGAATCGACATTCATTGGCGAAGAAACCATACTCTCTAGTTTGTCATATCATGATCGAACATACCAGCTTCATCCAATACGTATCGGATCACATTGCTCGATTGACAGGCGTTCTGTACTCTACGATGGTGTGACAATCCAGAATTACGTTCACATCGGACCCATGTCTGCAATTACTGGCTACATTTCAGCACCGGTTGACTACAAAACTATCAAGAATCGATTCTTGTCATTGAATCAAATTTTATATCAACTTGCCTGTCTACTCTGTCTTCTTTTCACTCATGGTATGCTCCTGTCCTTAAGTTATGTCATATTCTATTGTTGCTCGAGTTTGTGGTTTCCACTGCCAGTAAGTCTTGCATTGAGCTGGTTATTTTGGGCATTAGCAAGTTTAATTGCCGCCTTATTCTTGTTGAAATTTGTTGTGGGCCAAGTTTCACCAGGCGACTATCCACTCAATTCCTACTACTACTTGCACAAGCTATGGCTACGTCAACTGATTATATCATCATTCCATCGTTCGTTCGAATGTTTGCGTATATTTGATTCCGTTACACCTATTCTCCTTCGTTGGTTGGGCGCTTACGTGGAAGATGATGTCAAGTTGGCTCAATTTGCACGGATATTATCTTTTCCACCAAATCTTCTCAAAGTTGAATCCAGTGTGACAGCATTTGGAGAAGTCATGTTTGCATCATTTGAAATGACACCTATGGGCCTCTGTCGTTTGAATGAGATCTATATTGGTTCGGGCTCAAATGTTGGTAACTGGTGTGTACTTATGCCAGGCATACGGCTGGCAGCCAAAACAGTCGTTGGCATTCATACTGTTGTCACACAAGAGACAAACAGTTCTGACACTGGTGTAGTCTTGCTTGGTATTCCAGCTCGTAAAATGCCCTTTATGATGCCCGATAACATATCTTCCATAAGCCATATGCCATCTCTTGGATCTTTATCTGTTTATACTATTCTTTTCACTTGTCTTACCTTTTTCATTGGCAAATGTACCTTCGTCGCATTATATACTTTGCTACCTTTTCCTGCGGCATTATTTGTCCATGGAGCTCTGTGCTGTACTGCCTACCATTGTTCGGTTTCACATAGAGGAAAACGTGCACGCTTCACGTACTCAGAGGTAGTTAATAACGCACGAGAATTGTTCAGTGCATTGATAGTCGACTTTCAGCTTTTCGTCTGTCCATTTCTCTCGGGAACACAGTTTCTTAATTTTCTTTTTCGTGCCCTCGGTACACGGATCGGACATGATGTTATTCTGCCTGATATTAATTCTCTCCTTGATCCTCAACTGGTAACGATTGGTGATCATGTTCGCTTGAACATCGGCGCACACATTCAGGTAACCCACGTTTTATCATTACTTCATTTTCACTTTTTTTCTTTTGTTCTCATCTATAGTGTCATACCTTCGAACAGCGCCTTCTGAAACTGGCACCCGTTACTATAAATAATTCGAGTATACTTATGAGTAGATCCGTGGTGCTCTCTGGATCCATTCTACAGGGACGAAATCGTATCTTTCCATGCACACTTGTGATGAAGGATGATCAACTGCCATATAACACAAACTGGTCAGGTGTACCGGCCCAACAGGTCTCCTGAAATCCGGTGATGAACTTTCCATTTTCATTTTTCAGTCTTTTCGCTCTTCTACCAAATTAATTTTTCCAACCTTATATTATGATAAAAATTTATTCTCCCACTAATTACATTCATATGTAATGAAGGATGCGTGTGGGTGTGGGGTATGGGTGTGAGTTCGGGTGCGGGTGCGGGTGCGGGCATGGGTCTAAATGGTGTTCAAAGATGGATCCACGCCCGCTACGCTGTCATCATAGAAGGACATCAAATCTTGTGAAATGACATACTATAAGATCTGCATCTAGCACTGCCATTTAGAGAGACATCATAAATAGTGCAGTGAGTGTTTGTTCTAAACACTAGTAAATTTCTACCTAAAATAAAGCGTGTAAGCTGAAACTTTACTTTTTCATAGATGTTTATGAATAATATCAGTGGCATTTGATAGACAATTAATTGCTGGATGAGAAAGCGGCACAATCCTTGTAGTTTGGATAAACAATAAATCTCGTGCAACGATAGCTTCAAATGAATAATTTGACGTAGATAATAATCAACATAGAGCATATCAGTCCTAAAAAAAGATTTTCTTTCTTGGGTTTCATTTACGATGAGAATATTCAACGTGTCTTTTTGTGTACTCAAAACGTGAGTACACTCTGGAAACGGTCAGTGTCTCCGTCCGTCCGTACGTCCGTATACACGATAACTTTTGAAACGAGCGTCAGATCGCGATGAAATATTCTACACAGTTTAGTCTCAACAATAATTCGGTGGAGTTCGAAGATGAGAATGATTGACCGAGCCGTTCCTGAGTTATTGCAAAAATAGTTATTTTTCCCTATGCCTTCCTATGCGAAAATCAACCCCTTCCCGCTTTCGTGAAACACTTTTCCTATCATAGTCAAATAAAACCACAACTATTATATACTATTCGATAGAGAATTTCACGAGCTACAAAATGGTATATAAAACATAAAGAAACAAGAAGGCTAACTCACCTAATGCAAAGATAATTAAACGGAAATTGGTGCTGTTTTTGTGCACGCTCTGATTGATCCACAATTAGCGCTCTACCTTTCGATCACAGACATGGTACTTCGAGGTTTTCTGTGGAGAAGAACTCGAATCTGTACTCCACTTGCCTCGAAATAGCATTGGTTGAGCAGGGACCAATAGAAATCAAGTTATAGGAAAAACGACTTTCTTAGGGCAAGTCAAGGCGAAGAATTCAAATCTGAGGGTGTGGGTGTGGGTGTGGGTGTGGATGTGGGTGTGGGTGTGGGTGTGGATGTGGGTGTGGATGTGGGTGTAG